AGGAATGAATTAGTTGTAAACTGCATGCTTTATTGATATGAGATGTCCAAAATACCATTTTGACTCCATTACATTGAGTATGAGAGTGCAACAGAGTACAAATAAATATGACAGTGTTAGGTAGCAGATCCTCTCCTGGTCCCAAAAAGGCATGAAGCTTTGAGCGAAGCCACCTTGGAGAGGGTCCTTTCCTCCCCTCCCTGGAAGGGATGGACCCTGAATCTCCCCACTTCAAGGTAGAGATTAGAGGGTACCTTCAATGCTTTGTGTCCTGGAAAACCATCCCTCAGCCACGTTCTAATAAGGCCCATGGGGACACCTTGACCATACTTTGGGGTTCCCAGGCCACCCCCCATTTCCTCCATAACCAACTGTCTACAGCACGTCAACACCTTAAGTTGTCACTTAGACTCTGATGGTTTTTCTGGGTGCTTTCATGCCACCTCTGCTGCCACTCATGGGACCCAGATTACAGAGGGGAGATGCCTCTTTACTGAGGTTAATTCCAGGAGCTTACTCATTGTTACACTGATCTTACTTCCTCTAAGGTTCACATGGACCAGGTTTGGGGACCAGGGCAGTGCTGAGATGCACAACATCCAAACAGCACAGAGCATCGTGGTTCTGTAATGAGTGACATCATCTCAGAGCAGTGCTCTGTGGCTGTGTGTCCTGCAGGGGTGAGAGCAGAAGCAGGAGAAGAGAGTTGCTCTGTCTCCTTCCTGGTGGCAGGGGCCACACACTGCATGTCACAAACCACCCTTCAGTGAGACCCCAGGACTGCCAACTAGGTCGAGCACATTGGAGACTGAATCCCCCTTTTCTGAGCGTTCTGCTCTATTTTCAGTCAGAAAGAAAGAAGAGGGTGTGCGGCTCCCACCCACAGGAGCTCCCAGAAGGCAGGACCCTGGCTGACCTTCAGGTGCTTTCCCTTCTGAGGTCTTTTGGCTCAGATGCAGGTGCTAAATAGGTTGCCTCATTTTATTTTACCTCCTTGGTGTAGGAGCCTTTCTTGTGGGGGTGACTACTTTCGCAATGTCCCCCCAGTGCCATGGACACAGGTGAATGAGTAAATATGGCCCAGACATGATGAGATCTGTTTGGGGATGGAGGCGTGGGCTGTGGCCAGTTTCTGTGGGGAGAAAGAGGCCAGCAGTGACCAGTTTCTCTGAGGAGAAAAAGGCCTTGAACGCCTTCTTCCATAGCCTTTTATTGGGTTGTAATACACAGGAATACAGGGCGGCAAGGATCAAACACTATATAACATTACAAAGAGGTCTGAGGGTTTCAGTCTGAGTCAGTGTCTGTCAGGAAGAGAGTTGCAGAAACTTTGGGAGACATAGTGATTTCCTGTCAGCCCCTTATCATATGAATGAAAGCACTCTTAGCAGAGCAGATTTCACAGGTTTATCAGCAAGTCTTTGTGATGCCAGATTTTCCCCCAGGGCACCCTCTGGCCAGACAAGGAGCTGCACCTCTCCCCATCAGGTATTCAGGCTTAAGGGGATTAGAGCCAGGAAGCAGTTCTCCCAGAGAACATGGGGACTCAGGCTTTGACAAAGCTGGGTGGGGGGGCGAGAGTTCATTGCTCTTTGTTGCAGCCCCCTGAATCCTTCCTTGATGGCCTCCCAAGTGATGGAGTCTGGTTTAGGTTGCCCCCCCCCCCCGCTGTGAGGGGTCTTACCCGTCATTGACTTCCGACCAAGCTCTGGCGGCAGGGAGAGGAACTGAGGCAGCATTTGCTACCAGAGACGGGCTTTGTCTCCTGTGGCTGGCATACCAAAGGTCTCTCGCCCTTAGCCACAAGGGGTAGAGATACAATTCCTAAAATCAGGCAGAGTGGTCTACTACACTTTCTCACTCTTTACAACCTCTGGGGCAAAGTGGTGAGCCAGTAGCTGTCAAAGAGCAGAACTGGCCATTGGGTCTCAGAGAAACAATTTGGGCTGTGTCCGGTCCCCAGGAACTTTTGGGTGTTGAGCCATGAATTATGTAGATGTACAGACTGTTTACATGTTCTCCAGTGTCTTTGACCAGAACTTGCACCCTGGCTAGTCCAGGTCTGTGTCATTTCCCTCATGAGAGTGCTTATTCTGACGTAGGACATTGTACCAGATGCTGTAAGTGACTACTGGTAGAGTGTAGCTGGATTTTTTGCCTTGGTGGCAGATTGACTTTTACTGGTTCCTTCCACTTCTCAAAATCAGTGGTTGGGGATGCGTCCCACACAGCTAGGTGACCTCTGAGGATGTTACTATGAAGCGTACCTTGTAACCCACTTTGAGGTGAGGGTGGCCACTTGCTTCCAGAGTCTTTCTCCATCTCACACAGAGAGTGAACAGACTTGATCAGAATAGTAAGTGTGTGCCCTTCACCCGAGGAGATATAATTACCAAATGTGACTCTTTTTTCTATTAAAATTATCTTAAATATTATTGTTTTAAAGTCATAGTTAGCAAAAGGATAAAGTGACCAACTATTCCACTTTAACTCAATGAACTATTTATAAAGTCATAACATGATGACTATATAGATTTTACAGATCCATAGGAAAGAGTTATTATAAGATTTAATAACAAATGTTGTGTAACTGCAATTATGGTACATATATCCAGTATAGTAAAATGTACTATATATGATAGTATAGTATTGGTTGTAGGGTGTAAGATGATGACTATACCTTTTACAAATTGTGTTTCAGGATGTCAGATCACTATGTTTACACCTGAAAAACTCTACCAGTACTAGCCTCTACACCAACTATGCTGAAATGGAAATATATTTGAAAATAAAAACAGAAATAAATATAGAAATAAATTCACCTACTAAAGTTTGTAAGATGTAAGGAAAGCTCTCATATTTCATCTCTGTCTTTATTGTAAATACTGTAGCATAAAAGATGATTTTGAAAAGCCACCCACCTCTTGCTTACCTTATGTGGGCAGAACAGCTCACTAAATAGGAAGATCAGATGGGCTCTTATGAGAACAGCTACCGTATTTCTCCATCTCTCACCCAGTGCTGTGCACTGCACATGGGTAGCACTTAACATGCAGTGTCTCATCCAGCCATCCTAACCAATCCAGAAATGTTCAACTATCAGTCTGTTTTATGTGTGCACATACCAAAAAGTAGCAAACATCTGACTTATATTGAGTCACTTTTGCTGTTGATCCCTCCTTCCCTCTGGTCGTCTACCCTTAGTGAGCACCACACATTCTCTGCTTCTGCGCTGTCATTGTGACATGGACTGGACCTCAGAGGGAAGGCCTGTGGCTCACGGTGCTGCCTGTGAGTAGCTAGCACATTCCATTCAAGGTAAGGGATCAGCAAAAGACTTTGAGCATCACATCTAAACCTCACCTTCTCATTAATGTTTTAAGTAATTCTAATGTCTGTCCCCTAATGAACTCTCAGGATGAGTGATGTGGAGGTTGTTCTTTATTCATAAACTTGAGACCCCAGGATCTGTTGTCCATCTGACAACTTTTCTTAACCAAACTGGGACATTTGGACTATTGAGTTTTATTTTTTAATCCTCACCCAAGCACATGCTTTTTGTTTTATTACAGAGGGGGAGGGGAGGGAGAGAGGCAGAGAAACATAAATGTGAGACACATTCATTGGTTGCCTCCTGAGTGTGTGCCAACTGGGACCAAACCCGCAACCCAGCTCTGTATGGGCCCTGATCAGGAACTGAACCCCCAAACTCAATTTATAAGCCAACACTCCAACCTACTGAGCCACACCAGCCAGGGTAGATTACTGGTTTCAGTGGCTTCCAATTGCTTACATTGTGTAGGTAGGTATCTCTAAAGCAGACTGGGAGCCTGGAGCAGGGAAAAGGACCTTGCTCCTTCCTGTCTGCCTGCCTTTCTTGTCAGCCTGGCCCAATAGCTCTTGGCAGTGGCAGTGAAGGCCCCCTGCCCAGCCTTAGTTACTCAGCTTCCCAGAGCCAGCCTCATCATTCCCTGCTGTGGCCCCAGTGCCACTGGGGCACCCTGTCTCCTCATAGTGTCAAGTCTGAACCCGGACTCCTCTGCCTTCTGGATTCTAATCATCCAGCCTCTGCTCTATGTCCTTGAACCCTAGGGAGGGCAGCTTCACAAGTTCTGCTTGTTCATCTGAGAGCTCTGTGTTTACTGTTGTAGTTCCCCAGTGTCCTTGTACCCATCGTGTTGTATGGAAGTCTCTCTACTATTGTTGAATACTCATGATGCCTCCACTTTTCTGGGGGTACTCGAGGGAAGGGGTGTGGGGGATGCTGGTACCATTGTGCAGTTCTCCCTCACATTACCCAAACTTTGTTTCCCTGACCCAGAATCAGGGCTGATCCCTAAGCAAGACACTGTAGGTCTACCTGAAAAGATTTCTGCCAGAATTCCTGATGTCTCCTGGGGTGCCTGTGTTTTTACCCCATCTGGCAAGACTGAGTGACAGTGACATAGCTACATTGTCTGCTGGGTGAGGTGGCCCATCAGTTCTGCCCCTGTGTGGCCCTGCCCTCTGCAAATGGGGACATGTGCTCAACTGCCAGCAATCTGTAACAGCACAGGCTAAACCTATTATCTCTTCCAAAGGAGGGAAACTGAGTGAAAATCAGGGATAAGTGGGGAGGAGGAGTAGCTGAGGGTAAACAAAGGGAGGTAAGGAAATCTAACATTACATCAGAGCCTCAAGAAAGGCTCCCACCTGCAGAATGGTACTGTGTCTTAGCACAGTTATGCCAGACACAGAGTGGTGACATCACAGGTTTGCTCAGACGACCTTGCGTTTGGAAGCTGACAGGGTCAAATGGAAGCTTGCAGTTCTGAGTGGCCTTTACTGGGGCACATTTTGGTCACATGACAGGATGATAAACTGGACCAGTTGTTGGTGACTGGATGGAATTCTGACTACGTAGCAGTAACTTTCGACTCCTATTTTTTAGGTTGCTTCTACTGCACCAGCTCTCTGTTGGGAAGAGCTTTCCAGGAACCACTCTCCACGTGGCCACTGGACTGTGTGTTGTTCAATTCTCAGCTAGCTGACAATGGTGTAACTGTGCACCTTGATAATCACATGCTAAGAAACGTCCCTGCTAATGGAACAAAGGTACCACCTGGGGAACTGGACACAGGTACATATTTATTTTTGTGGGAGGAAAGTTATTGAATAGAAGAGAAGAACAATGAGTTACTGTGGGAAGAAAACATAGACTTCACAGGGTAGGTACCAGCTCCCTGGGAAGGGGCTCTGTGTGGTAGGAGGCAGATTTCAGGAGGCCTTGTGGTACACCCAGACTAAGTCACACTGAGCGAGGACTACCACTTCTCTGGCAGTAATATAGGAGACCCCATTACTTTGTGGTCTAACAAAACATACCTTGCAACTGCACTCATGCCTTTGATATACAATGGAAATAGCAAGCATGGTGGATTGTCCCCAAACACAGACCAAAAGGACTTTGAGAGAGACAGGTGGCTCTTGTGCCATCACAGGACAAGCTGAGTTTCCTTTTGATGAGGAGGAACAGTCTGTAGAAAAAGATCTGTTCCCTGGAGTGAGCATATTAGGAAGATTCAACTGCCTCATGTAAGTACGTCATTTGGAATACCAATCTGTGTGGACAAAAGTATCTTAAGATCAGGATAAGGCTGCCTCAGAATGTAGCACCAATGGCAAATGCAGCGTGAGGAAGGTGGTGATTTAGCTATCTGCTCATTCACGTGCCTGAGACTTCTGCAGAGGTTATAACAAGGTAGGGATAACACAGCTCAAAGGGGAGCACGTACCAATCAAGTTAGCACATAACTACGAAAATGTATGTCATGGCTTTTCCAGAATGCACCTGTCACTCCGAGTTATCCCAGAGACTGCAGGTGTGGGACAGAGCCACAGTGGGGCCGTGTTCCTTATACTAAATATGCTGTGACTGCATCTGTTGTGTACATGCCCCTTAAACCCAGATGCTCAGGAGTAACGTACATTTTGCTGAAAAAGTTCTATGGGCCAGATGGGGGACTGTGCAACCCACTGTTCATTCAGGTAAGTTTATGTAAATTGCAAATGAAAAGACATTTGAAACATTCTGTCCTGTCCCTGAGAGTGAGGCACAGGAATGGAAATTGTGTTCTTCTGAGCTGGGATTCAGAGTTGCTGGGAGTGTTTTAGGTGGGAGTTCTGGAGGCAGGTGTGCTGATAACGAAGACGGTGGGGATGTGGGCATCTCTTTGAGGACCAATGCACAATGTAAGGCCTGGGGACAGGGCACAGCACATAAGAAATGACTCAGTGGGTAGGTGGAATTCTGAAGACGGTTTCCCACCCATGTCAAGAGCTCCTTGGTCATCTAATGCAGCCCAGGCCTTGGGACTGCTCAAAAGGTATGTTGCCCACCAACTGATCCTAAACCATGGAGGCTGCGGTGGTGGGCTGAACTCAGTGAGGGGAGACTCCTGGGAACAGAAGTCCCCCAACCACCTGCCAAAGGAGGAAGTCAGAGGGGGAAGTGAAGAGTGGAGGTGGAGGGGCCACAGGCAGGGCCACAGATGGGGGGCACACCTGGCCTGAACTTTTCTCTCCACCTACAAATCAGGCGTTGACAATGCAGCCAAGCCCACCTGGCCTCCAGACCTTTGGAACCGAGAGACAGTAGGACACAGGGTGCTGGTGGAAGCCTGTTCACACATTTGTGCTCATCTGCTGCAGGGTCAGGAAACTGAAACACAGTTGACGTCTGGTAGGACTCACCTGCTTCCAGCTCTGGCCCTTCCCACACTGGTCATCTGTCACTCCATGCAGGACCCCCATGAACTCTGAAAAATCACTAAGGCCCCAAAGACACTTTATTTATGTGTTTGTGTGTGTTGGTGTGTGTGTCACATAGAAATGAAAAGTGACAGCTTATGAAATATGTGCTTTTGATTCATTTTGAATGATTTCCACTATATGTTAACATAAAGAATGTATTTTCATGATACCTATCTTGTATAGAACATAAAAATAGTGAAAAGAGCAGCTATGGTTTACAGTTCTGAAAATTCTTCAAGTGTTGGTTGAGCAGGGAACACCTGGGTTGAAATCTTCTATGTTCTCTCTGCCACCTCATCGAATGTCATGTGGCCTCCAGAAAGCCCCCCTGTGCACTCCCCAGAGAGTGAGGATGAAGAAGACAAGTGTCTGAGTATTATTGTGTAAACAGTTTAGAACTCCTAGAGCTTTGGAAAGGTTCTCAGATATTTCCTGTGGCCCCCAGGCCACACTCAGAGGACTCCTAACAGAGCATTCAGACTTTGAGCTCCACATCTGTAAGTGAAAATTGTGATAAAACTGAACAATGTGGTCACTGTAAGGTATTTGGCACATTTTCTGAAACATAAGAAGGACTCAGGACACAAGCAGACTTCAGCCAAGATGGAGGCACAGATGGAACCACTGTCCCTTCTCGCACAACCAAGTTTAAAGATGACAAAGTTTTAGTAACAAAACACACAGGCAAAACACCGAAAATTGAACTGTGCAGAAGTCTGACAAGAACAAATGGTTCAGCCAGACTGATAAGAGGGGAGGAGCCAGCAGAGGAGTGGGGGTCGGGCAGGAAAGATCCCCTGGACTTGCCCAGGTGTGCAGGCAGCCGTTGGCAGATACCAGGCATGGGGTAGCAACGGGTGGATACAGTGAGGGCTCAAGGCAGCACGCTGACCGCAGTCACACATTCTCACGCAGATAAACTAGCAAAGGAGTGAGCAGTGAGACAGACTGTGCAGGACCCAGCAGTGGGAAGCAGCAGAGGGGACCACCTTTGCCCCTCTCCAACCTCGCCCCCATGTACAGCATCACAACCCAATGACCTGGGTGGCCTCACCCTGGTGAACACCGAGGGCTCCACCCCTCATATGTAACAGGCGCAAACAGACCAGAACATTATGGCCCAAGAAGAACTCTAAGTCCCAGAGCCAATGACTCTAAGCGACCAAGAAATAGCCAACCTATGAGATGCACAGTTTAATCCACTGGTGATTAGGATGATCACAGAACTAGTTGATTTTAGTCACAAATTAGAGGAACATATGAAGGCTAAAGTAATTGAAATGAAGGTAAATGCACAGGAAACCAATAGTGATGGAAAGGAAACTGAGACTCAAATCAAGGGAGTGGACCAGAAGAAAGGAAAAAATGACCAAACAGAAAAGGATGAAGAAACAAGAATTCAAAAAATTGAGGAGAGGCTTAGGAAGCTCCAGGACATCTTTAAATGTTCCAACATTCGAATTATAGGGGTACCAAAAGGGGAAGAGGAAGAACAAAAAACTGAAAACTTATTTGAATAATAAAGAACTTCCCCATTCTGGCAAAGGAAATAGACTTCCAGGAAATCCAGGAAGCTCAGAGAGTCCCAAAGAAGTTGGACCCAAGAAGGAACACACCAAGGCATAACATGATTACATTAGCCAACATTAAAATGAAGGCGAGAATCCGAGAAGCAGCAAGAGATAAGGGGATAGTCACCTACAAAGGGGTTCCCATCAGACTGTCAGTGGATTTCTCAAAAGAGACCTTACGGGCAAGAAGGGGCTGGAAAAAAGTATTCCAAACATGAAATCCAGAGACCTACAACCAAGATTGCTCTATCCAGCAAAACTTTCATTTAGAATGTAAGGGGAGGTAAAGTGTTTCTCAGATAAGATCAAGTTCAAGGAGTTCATCATCACCAAGCCCTTATTATATGAAATGTTACAGGCACTTATCTAAGAAAAAGAAGATAAAAAAGATGAATAGTGAAAGGACAGCAAACTCATAGTTATTAAGAACCACACCTAAAACAAAAGCAAACTAAGAGGACACCTAGATTAGGAATGAAACCATAGAAATAAAGATCACATGGAGGGTTAGCAACAGGGGAGTGGGAGGAGAAGGGGGGAGAAGGTACTGAAAATAAGTAGCATAGATGGTAGGTAGAAAATAGATAGGGGGGAGGTCAAGAATAGAATGGGAAATATAGAATCTAAAGAACTTGAACCCTGGCTGGCGTAGCTCAGTGAATTGAGTGGGGACTGCAAACCAGAGATTCGAGGTTTGATTCCCAGTCAGGGCACATGCCTGGGTTGCAGGCCAGTTCCTGGCAGGGGATGCATGAGAGGCAGCCACACACTGATGTATCTCTCCCACTCTTTCTCCTTCCCTTCCCCTCTCAAAAAATAAATTAAAAATATATTTAAAAAAAAAAGAACTTGAGACAGGTGGACATAAACTTGAGGGGGGAAGGTAGGAGAGAGGGTGTGCAGGGTGGAGGGAAATGAAGGGGAAAATTGAACAACTTTAATGGCATAATCAATTAAATATATTTTTTAGAAAAAGGATTCAGTACTTGTTGCTTATGGATGTTATAATACTTCCTCATATGTACCTATGAGCCCTGAGTGCAGATGGCAAAACGTCCTGGCTTGGGGGGGGGGTATGTTCTTTCTCAGCATTTCCCTAAAAGCAATCCTACCCTGTACAAGATCTAGAGAACCAGGCATTCATTACACTAATCAATTCAAGAGCGTGGCTGCCATCATTCATGGTGTCTGTCTCAGGGTCAAAGCCCCTGAGATCCCTGCAAGTTCATGCAGAATCAGCACAGGGCTAACGGCCACCCAGCCTTGTCCCCAGTGCTCTTCCCCCAGGGACAGTCAGACTCGATCTTCACTCTCCTCCACAGAGAAAATCAGAGTTTTTCTTTTCCTGCAGGGAGAAGATAACTAGGCAAAACATCTTATGATCCTTGTGGGAATCTCAACTCTCAGTAGAAACTCCAGAAGGTTTTTAGTTCATCTGACTCTCAAATGGAAGCTATGTCCCTGGGCTTCTCTGAAGGACCCACAACAAGACCTGCAGCCCCTCCAGTGTCTGGGTCTCCACCTGCAGAAGCTGCAGAGGGCAGGCTGCTGCCCCTGTTCACAGGTGCATCTCTCTCCTCTGTGGGGTTTATTCCAGGTCAGAGTAGGTGCTCGTGAGAAAATCCCACACAGAAAAGACTGATTTGTGCTGGGAGGTCATGTTCAGTGTGGGTAGTTGGGGGCAGACAGGAGAGCAGCCCACACCACCGTGGGTGTGTGCACAAGACTGGCATTGCTGGCTGCTCTTTCCTCCTGACTCCAACCAGGAAATGAAGGTCAGTGGAACTGGCACCTGGATTTCTTCCTTCCCCACCTCAGGGACTGTCTGCCTCCTGTGCTGTGGGCAGGGCCCTGACCACCCTCAGAGTATCTCACACTCCCCTCCTGATGTGCCTGCATAGTGCTGGTCAGAGCCAGCAGGCTGTCTCAGCCAGGGCTTTATATTTAGGCATTGGCTCTGAGTAAGGGTCCCAGGAGCCAGATTAGAGGTCGTCTGTGTTTCCTAGTCTGAATGAGGAGAGCGACCTCTATTGCAAGTTCTCTCCATGGAAGGGAATCTTCCAGGAAGTATGACAGTAATTCATTTCTTTGCTGAAACCAGTTAAAATGTCAGTTTACCATACAGTTACTCCTTTCCTGACAATCCCAGGTGATCAGCTCATGGTGATGATTGTCAGAGTGGAAATCACAGTGTGTGATGTAAATATATCCACTATCATCCAATAGGACACAATGAGTGGGAGACTCCTGGGCAGAGCTGGGGAAGTGGGACACAGCTCCAGAGCTGCAGAAACTCGGAGTCACAGGACCTCCCAGGTGAAGAGCTGCTTGTGCCGACCTCACGAACCTTTGTATGTGCGTCACTTCTGTTTTGTTCTCACTGTGATGTTTTCTTCTCTGTTCCAGTGTGTGTCTACTTGAGAGATTTAATGTGTCTTCCATTTTGTTTTCATGTTGCTTAATTTTTCATAGCATAATGATACTTTGGTAATGAAAATAAAAATAAAATGGTCACTACATCTAAAATAAAATGATCCATTTATGAAGACACAAAACTAAAAAGTTAGTAAGCAAATGTTCCTACTGACTAATAATACATTGAGTTACATTCAGCAAAGTTATTATTCTTCATGTTCAGATATGAAATATGTTTCCAACATTACTTACTGTGTCCAACTGTGTTGAGAATAATTTGGCTACACTGGTGTGGCTTCTCTCACTTCCCATAACACAGCAGTATCTTTAATTGTAGGGAAAATTAATGTCACAAACTTAATGCACATTTACGTAGAACCTTCCCAAACGTACTCATATGTATGAAAGTGAAAATCTAGAATTTTGCCTGTTTCTCCCAGGGATCAAATTCTCACTGTGCTTTTCTAATAAAATAGAAATTGTGTCTTGGTCAGTAGATCCTGGAAAACAGAAGATGCTTAACATACATATTTTTTGACTAAAAATAACAATCATCTATTTAACAAACATTTCCAGAATGCCTGTTTCATCTAGAACTATACTAATTGTTATGAGACATATGGATGTGTAAGACATATGAGGAGAAAAAGTTCGGTATTTGGTGAAAGGCAATATCAACATTAAAAATTAAAATTTGATCTGAATCTCCTCTTATCTTTGATATGTCCTGAAGCTTACCCATATACCCTGATAGTGAGAATTCAACTGTTGTAATTGTTGTTATTGGCCAAGCCTTTACATTTATATTGTATCTGAAGAGCCCCCCACAAGAACCTAGCCTAACTGCCAAGGGTAGAAAGACCCTGTTTTCAGGCTGTCTGACAGCCAGCCCTTCCATGGGGCCCAGAGATGATCAAGCAGGCATCCACCTTTCCCTCTGTTGTAACTGGCTGTGCCTATGATGTCATGGTTCAGATGAGGAAGGTGTGGTGCCCTGCAACACCCATTGGGGTAAAAGATTGAGGGCAGTGGTCAGCCCAGTGTGTCAGGACATGGGTGTGTTTGACCCCTTTGCATACCCACCTGAGCACACACCTGCCCAAGAATGCTCAGGTACTAAGGCCTGACTGCCTTCCTCCCCCACGGGATAGACAGTAATTCTCAGCAGTTTAAAAATTACCGAATTCATTCACACTCATAAGCCTTACAAAATGTGTGAATTAAGGTTATATCAATGGTCTTAGAGATGAAACTCGTAATTACTGGGGAACACACTGTCTGCTCCCCTGAATCCTCACTGTCAGGCCTGTGTGGTGCAGAGGGGTTAAGTGATGGTCATGTGTTAAAGGAATTGTTTAACTTGTCATTGCTGACAGATAGGAGCCTTCTCCTCTTGTTCATACACAGTAAAGAGTCAGGAAAATTTGCAGGTGCCATTCACCTAGAAAATTGGTTCCACTCAAGCCAGAAATGGGAATTGAGAAGAAAACACTAGACAAGACACTAATGAGAAATCTATGTCTCTTGTTGTTCATGATGTAGATGTAAAGACGTCTAAGAGGAAATCCAAATGTGGTGTTGGGGTCGTTTCTTTCACGTGGACCACAGGGAACCTGTGGTGGAGGAGGTAGGACATGAAATAATGTCACATAGAATGTTTCGATTCCTTGAAATAAGAGGGTAAATATTTCAGGTAGCAGGTTAAATAATAATAAGGGGCATTTTCAGCCTAGTGACCAAATAGCTGCACACATTGGAAGTCAGGCTGTTCTAAGCTCTGTGGAGCATTTACCATCCATCTGAGAGAAGAGTGAACTGCAGGAAGGTGAAGACCAGCAGGCTTTCACCTGAGTGTGAATAGAGAACCAGCGCCCCCTGGCTCCCAGCGTGGTCAGAGCAGCCACCCAAGTGGGACTACCTCACAGCAGAGGTGAATCAGGGGTAAGGGAGTTAGGACTTTGGAGTTAGACACCCTTCCCACTGAGTGGTTTCCAACAGAGCTGAGTGTCCCTGCTGCTGGGATTTTGTTGTTGGATCCTTATATGACTATAGATAAAGCAATATGTGAACCCAGATACATAAATTGTGTCACTGATTTCACTGAGTACTGTCAAATCTTGAAATTTACTGGAAGGATTCATGAGTTAAAATTAACTCACTGAAGCATTATATTGCACAAACCTAATGAGATAATAGATAAAATACTTATACTCAAGGAAATAGTGTGCAGCTCTTCACAACATGGTGCATAGAAATATTTTGACATGGAAGTAGTTTCTGATATTTCTATAGGAAAGAAATAGGTCAACTAGCCACGTTTGTTGATATATGTATTTAAATTCATAATACACATGAAAATGTACAGCAAAATGGTATAATGGTATATACACATTAATAATACTTATTTGTGTTTTTTTCAGGGTATTACCTCTTTAGTCTTCATTATAAATGGAGCTTCATGTCTTTTTATGAAAGTTTTGAAACTTGTTGTCAAATGCTCTCAAACAAGGTAAGAACCACCATAGTCACACAATGACCTACATTTTAATTTTTTAAATGTTCCATTCTCTGTTTTTCTAAGTAGAAATAAAACAAAAACATAAATTATTAATTAATAAGGGGTGAGTTACACATGTATATATGCCTAAACATAAGCTACTAAATAATACCAAGACCATTTTCTTCAATGCTAATGTTGATTTAGTGAAATAGATTTGACTCTATAAAAGGGAAGTCAGTTAAGCTGTTTTCAATGTTCAGAAACATGAAAATGTGTTATTACAGGAAAATTTGTATTCCTCGCCAAATTGTATGCTTCATGTTTTAAAAGAAGACATCAGAAATGTGGCAGAAATTCTGATAAAAGTACAAATTATTGAGTTTAAGATACTGGTTTACAAATATGATTCTTGCCTAAAGTAATCGGGCCCTTTTGGAGAAGTGTGTGTGCCCGAGGCTGAAGTATGAGAAGAGTGTACAAGAGCCATCAGAAGTAAGGAAGTGGTCAAAAACTGTGGAGATGTGTTAGAAAATAAAGGGCAAGCTTGGTGGGTTTACATCTAGAATAATTAAGAATGAGTAAATAAAAAATAATTATGTTTGCTGGATTACAAAATTCATACTTATGGAAAGGTGATAGATGCAGACATATAAAGATATGTAGATGATTGATAGATAGGCAGGTAGATGATAGAGCTTTTCCTCATGAGGAAATTGACAGCCAATAAATGTACCAGTAGTGATGGAGTAAGAACACCACGTTCCGCCATAATCACTACTAGTAATCAAGTCAGGCAAGACAATCAACAGGCACTGAAATCAGTGGCTGAGAGGCTCTGTGAGGAACAGAATAGTAAATAATAACTTTAATGGCTTCTCCAGAAATTACATTAGGGAAAAAGATAATGATTCTATAATGGAGATACTCGGGAGGCACCATATTCTCCAGGCTTCCGAATGAGTGTCACCAGTGATGGAACAGTGAATCTCATGCACCTGCCCATGGAGCAAAACAGAAGATACTTAATTTCCCTGCAGAAAATGAATAATCAGATTAAAAAATGGAAACTGCCTGCAGTTTCATTTGGAGAACATTGTAGCAAAAAATGTCTCTATAATCTTCCAAGATTCAGTGGTCATGAATGACAAAGGCAGACAGGGTTACTTTTTCAGATCAAAGGACACTAGAAATGAATGACATTAAATCTCACATGTCATTTTGTATTGAGTCCTGTGTGAGGTGAGTAGAGAGAGAATATTATAGATTAAAGAATCATATTAATACCAAATTGCCTGGTTTCGAAAATTGTGGTTAGATTCCTGAGTATCTTTGCTCTTGATGGAAAAAAAGGAAATTTAAGAGTAAATGGGTATCATGTCTGTTCACACTTTAATCTCAAATGTTTCAGAAAAAAACAATATTCATATATAATATAGAGAAAAAGAATCATAAGGCTAATAGAAATAAATACTAAAATTTGTTAAATCCAAACACATGGTTATGTTGGAGTACTTTGAATAATTCTTGACTGTTTTCTATCAGTTTAAATTTATTTCATAGGAAAGTTAAAAACAGGTAACCAGTTTGGGGGGCGGGGGAAGAAAAAGCTTTCAAGGAGTGACAAGGATACAACCTTTCTCTGA